CCACCGCATGAGAATGAAGATTGTTCTCACCCCTCAGGAAGATCCGAGGAATTCGGGATTAAGATGTTCCCATGACTCCCATCTGGGTTCTTATCTGGGTGTGGTAGCACGCACCTTTAATCCCAGCACCTGGGAGATAGAGGAGGTAGATTTCTAAGAGTTTAAGGTTATTCTGGGCTATGTAGGCCATTTCAGGCCAGCCAGAGCTACATAGTAAAAACCCTGCCTCAAAACACCAAAAACCAGGGATCTTACGAACCGTGTGTGTGTGTGTGTGTGTGTGTGTGTGTGTGTGTGTGTGTGTGTGTGTATGTATCACTTTGTCACAATGTTTTGGGTTTTGTTTGTTTTTCATTTCAAAAAAGATTTATTTTTAATTATGTGTATATGTGTGTGTACCTCTGTGTATATGTGTGGAGGTGCCCCCAGAGGCCAGGGGAACTGGAATTACAGGAGGTTGTGAACCCCTGACCTGAGAATGGCAACTGAACTCAGGTCTTCTGGAAAAGCAGGCTGTTTTCTTTTTTCCTTTATTTGTTTTGGTGTTTTGAGGCAGGATCTCTCTCCATAGCCTTGACTGTCCTGGAATTCACTCTGTAGACCAGGCTGGCCTCAAACTCACAGAGATCCACCTGCCTCTGCCTCCAAGTGCGGGGATTAAAGGCATGCAATCATCACACCTGGCCAGACAGTTTTCTTTACTAAGCCATCTCTAGCTCATTTTTTCATTTTTTTAAAGACAGGGTCTGGGGGGCTAGAGAGGTGGCTCAGTGGTTAAGGGCACTGACTGCTCTTCCAGAGGACCCAGATTCAATTCCCAGCAACCACATGGCAGCTCACAACTGTCTGTAACTCCAGTTCTAGGAGATCTGATCCTCACACCAATGCACATAAAATAAAATAAAATAAAAAAATGATTTAAAAAATATTTTAAAGACAGAGTCTTAACCTGAACCCACAGAAATAAAGGTGCTAAGGGGCAAGACTGGAGACGAGAAATAAAGAAGACAGATAGCTGGGCCCGGGAGGTCTTGCTTAAGGTGATGACTTCTGCTAAGCAAGTGTATTAAGAAATGCAGCATCCTGCCTTGGATTTAGCTCAGTGGTACAGTGTGCAAGGCCCTAGGTTCGGTCCTCAGCTCTGGGGGGGAAAAAAAAGAAAAAAGAAAAAAATATCATGAGCTATGCATAAAATTTATGGGACTGGAGAGGTGGCTCAGTGGTTAAGAGCACTGACTGCTCTTCCAGAGGACCTGAGTTCAGTTCCCAGGACCCACATGGCAGCTTAAAACTGTAACGCCAGTTCTAGGGAACCTAAAACCCATGGCAAAACACTAATGCACATAAAATTTAAAAAAAAAAATGGGGTCGGGGATTTAGCTCAGTGGTAGAGTGCTTGCCTAGCAAGCACAAGGTCCTGGGTTCGGTCCTCAGCCCCGGTGGGGAGGGGACAAATGCAGCATCTTCTATGGTATTTGTAAGGGGAGAATGGGCCAAAGTAGCAGAGAGCTAAATCAGACAGTGTGGGCAAAGAGAATACAGACTAGCTGAGACATGTACGTCTGCTTAAGGACTGAGAGCCACAGCCCAAAGGGAAGAATAGCATCCCCACAAACCGCAGTTTTCACGCCTTCGAGGCACAGGCCCCAGCCGCAGACCTTGCCAATTGGACAGTGACACAGAACTGACATCCCCTTTGTCCTTTTATCCAGGCCTCTGAGAAGGCCTTGAATTGTCAGGCTCCCGACAGAACCTCATGTGCCCAGGTGGATTTGAACTTGCTGTGTAACCAACCAAGGATGACCTTAAACTTCTGATCCTCCTGCCTCCACCTCCCAAGTGCCAGGGTTATAGGCATGCACCACCATTCCCAACCCTGCTTTTATTTATTTTATACCCCCTCCCCCCAGTGTAAGATGCCTGAGGACAGGAGTTTTATTTTTATCAGTGCCAATCCTTATACTTCAACAGTGAGCAGCACATAGGAAATAGTCAATCATGAATGGACGAATCAGCCAATAAGCAAGGGGCAGGGTAACAGGGACTGTAGATGCAGAGGACCTGTGATCACCGGGGGTTTCAGAATCATAGGGCAGGGACAGCGCGTGTGCTGACTAGACTGTCAACTTGACACACAAGCTAGAGTTATCTAAAGGAGTGACCCTCAGTTGAGAAAATGCCTCCGTAAGCTCCAGCTGCAAGGCATTTTCTTTATTAGTGATTGATGGGGGAGGGCCCATTGTGAGTGATTCCATTCCTGGGCTGGTGGTCTTGGGTTGTATAAGAGAGCAGGCTGGCTGAGCGGCGGTTGCACATGCCTTTAATCCCAGCACTCAGGAGGCAGAGGCAGGTGGATCTCTGTGAGTTTGAGGCCAGCCTGGGCTACAGAGTGAGTTCTAGGACAGAAACCAAAACTACTCGGAGAAACCCTGTCTCGAAAAACCAAAAAAAAAAAAAAAAAAGGCAGACTGAGCAGGCCAGGGGAAGCAAACCAGTAAGCAGCACCCCTCCATGGCTTCTGCATCAGCTCCTGCCTCCCAAGTTCCCAACCTACTTGAGTTCTTGTCTTGACTGCCTTCGATGATGAACTGTGATATGTAAGTGTAAGCCGAATAAACCCTTCCCTCCCCACATTGTTTTGGTCATGGTGTTTCATCACAGCAATAGTAACCCTGACTAAGGCAGTGAAAGAATCTGTCTCAAAAAACAAACCAAAACCAGGTGACTGGCACCTAAGGAGTGATATCCAAGGTTGACTTTGGGCCTCCCCAGGAGCATGAACACAGGAAAGGGAGGGAGGGAGGAAAAACCGCAACCAAAAGAAAAGGGTTTTGGTAATAACTTTCTTCATATTTTACTCAACAAAAAAATGCATTAGGATGCTGAGTATGGTGCACACAACTTTGATCCCAGCACTGGAGGCAGAGGCAGGCAGATCTGAGTTCAAGGCCAGCCAGGGCAACATAGTAAGACACTGTCTCAAAAAAACATACCAACAAAAAAGTGTGTTGAGGCCGGGCGGTGGTGGCGCACGCCTTTAATCCCAGCACTCGGGAGGCAGAGCCAGGCGGATCTCTGTGAGTTCGAGGCCAGCCTGGTCTCCAAAGCGAGTTCCAGGAAAGGCGCAAAGCTACACAGAGAAACCCTGTCTCGAAAAACCAAAAAAAAAAAAAAAGTGTGTTGAGTCCTTGAGCCTTAAATTCTATTGTGTGCCTAAAGGTCAAGATGAAATGTCCATAGAAGTCACCCTTATTGCTCCTAATACTAAAATGCCAGAAGTTAGCATTTGCCCCTTGCTCCTCCTCAGACTAAACGCCTTGGGTCATTACTTAAGACCCTATCTATAATCCTCAGGTACACCAAGAAGATGGTTTGGCTAATTATATTTGAAAGATCTGACCCTGCAAGGGTAACTTCTCTTTCTTTTTGGTTTTTCAAGACAGGGTTTCTCTGTGTAGCTTTGTGCCTTTCCTGGATCTCGCTCTGTAGACCAGGCTGGCCTCGAACTCACAGAGATCCGCCTGGCTCTGCCTCCCGAGTGCTGGGATTAAAGGCGTGCGCCGCCACCGCCCGGCTAATTCTCTCTTTTTTTTTAAGTTTTATTTTTAATTATGTGTATGCCTGTGTGTCTGCGTAAGGACATATGCACGGGAGTGTAGTTGTCGGGAGGTCAGAAGAGGGCCCTGGATCCCCCTGGAGCTGGAATCCCAGTTAGGAGCCACCCAGTGTGGGTCCTGGGCACGGAACTTGGCTCCTCTGCAAGAGCAGTATGGGCCTTTAACCCGAACTGTCTCTCTTGCCCCATCAGCATTTCTTCATATTCTCATTAGAGTGTCCACTGTGATCATGTGCCCCAAGTCTGCGGGGAATGGTTACCAAATCCTCTTGCAGTGTGTAAACCAAGGCCCGTAAGGATTTTGTTGCAAACAATGACGATAAAAGCCTCCAGGCTTCTAATCCGGCACGGTGAGGGGTTGTCAGACTGGTCCTCAGGATAATGTGATCCTCGGAGGGGGTAGGGGCAGCTAGGCACCAGGGGAGTCCAGAAAACCACAGAGGACCCAGCGTAGGCGCTGGCGCCACCTCCGCCCAGACACAGGAGGAAGGGGCGGGGCCTCCACAAGCCGATGCCGGAAGTGCCTCTCCGCCCCTGCCACTGGACCATGGAGACCGTGGCCCAGTAGAGACCTTAGTGCGAGACTTGCAGGGGCGGTGGACATGGAGGCTGTGCTGAACGAGCTGGTGTCTGTGGAGGATCTGAAGGTGAGGCCCGGGCCAGAGGAAGGAGGAGGGCAGAGTCGGAAAGGACAGTTCTGAGGAGAGCTGACCAAGGCCGAATACAGCCGGCTTAGGCTTGCTGAGGAAGCCGAACTACGGCTCCCAGAAGCCTCTGCGGTGTCCTGCTTCTTGCGGGAACCTGCGCTTTATCCCTCGGCCTGATGGGAGTTGTAGTTTCCAGGATTTCGGCAACTCAGACCTGAGGCCTGGAGTCTTGGGGGGTTAAGTGTGATGCAGAGTTGGGAATTTGGGGTACTCGTGCAAGGGATGAGGTAGCATAGTCACCGGCGTAAGCTTTTGCTAGTGTTGAGTCCGGCATGGTTCACTGCATGTTAGCCCTCATTCTTGTAGCGGTATTGTCTTTCCTTTTCTAGAATTAAGGTAAGTCAGATCCAGGCTCAAAAGAGTAGGTGGGACGGGACCAGCAGCCTTAAGCGAAGTCCGCGTAGAAGGTCATTTATCTGCTGGGACAGTATGTTTACTGCTCAGCTACTTGGGTCAGCTGGTCTGGGAGCAGTGCCCGCAGCTGCCACCAGGTGGCACCTCCTCTTGGTACCACTAGGGGCTGGGTGCAGGGGCCTTGTGAGGGGAGGGCACAGAGCCTGGGTACCGAGGCGGCGGACGGGAAAGTGTCGTCTAACTGGGACTCCGACACCAAGATCAGCTGGAGAAACGGAGGACACCCTTTGTTCCTAACTGATTCCTCTTTTCTCTAACGACAGAATTTTGAAAGGAAATTTCAGTCCGAGCAGGCAGCTGGCTCTGTTTCCAAAAGCACACAGTTTGAGTATGCCTGGTGCCTGGTGCGAAGCAAGTACAATGACGACATCCGTAAAGGCATCTTGCTCCTGGAGGGTAAGGCGCTGGGTCCCCTTGACCTCACCCGTGCAGGATCCTTTTCAGCATGGAGCCCTCACCTCATAGCTCACCCAGTAGCCACCAGTAAATTCACAGCAGCAAAGGTCTAGGTTGATTCTCTATATCCCCAATTTCAACATCCGAACATTCATTCAAGTGGGAAAAAATACATTTCTCCGGCTGGGGAGATGACTCAGAGTGCTTCCTGTGCAGGTGTGTGAGGACCTGAGTTCAAATCCCTAGCACCCGTTGGCAAAGCTGAGTGTGGCCACAAGCACCTGTATATAGAGAGAGAATAGGAATGAAGTGCTGCTGGGGGATTGCTTGCTGCGATCTTTGCCCCAGGTTCAGTGGGAGACCCTTTCTCCAGGGAGTGGGCAGAGAGTGCCTCTGGCCAGGCCTCTGTGCGTGCATCTGCTGCACACAAGTTTCCATATGTACCACACCCACAGTGTCCACAAAACATTTCTTGTTCAGTTATTAATTGCTCTTAATATAGCATTTACATTGTATTGGATAACAGTAATTTAGAAAGTTTTAGAGATGTAAGATATCTGAGGGGCTAGTGGTATTGGGGACATGTGACCCCAGCACTCCAAAGGTGGAGGCATGGGGACATAGTTCAGTAGTAGAGCATTGACTGCAGAGATGAAGGCAGGGAGTTCAAGGCCAGAGTCAGCTACATACTGATCAAATTCAGGTCAGCCTGGGCTCCCTGAGTTCCCCGTCTCAAAAAAGCATCTTTGAGGAATACAACTAGCTATCTATGCAAACACTATTTAATTTTACATAAGGGCCTTTACATCTGTAGATTTTGAAATCTGAGGGGCATCTTGGGATAATCTCCGAGGCCCTCAAGGGACAGTGTTGTACCAACAGAACATGCCTTTGTCATTTAGTTGCTTTTGAGTTTGACTCAGGGTCTCTGTATAGCTCAGGGAGCTCCGGCTTCTGACTCCTGCTTCAGCCATCTTAGTGCTAGGAGTTGAGGTGTGCCAGGAGCTCCAGGGTCCCTGTCCCTGGACTCTGGTCAGTGCGGATTTTTCAGGTTTCTTCTGTAGTAGGACACAACAGTAGAGTGGTCTCGGAGCATTTGAGTCTCACTGGGGGCGCAGTACCGACACTGCACAACTACTCAGCGGCAAAGTATGGTTGCACACACCAGTAACGCCAGCACTCAGGCTCGGGCACCCTGATCAGGAGTTGGAAACCAGCTTGGGCTACATAGTGAGTCCCTGTCTTTTTTTTTTCTTTTTAAGACAGGTAGTTTTGGTACCTGTCCTGGAACTCACTCTGTAGACCAGGCTGGCCTCGAACTCACAGAGATCCGCCTGGCTCTGCCTCCCAAGTGCCAGGATTAAAAGTGTACATGTGCTGCTGCCGCCACCACCACCGCCATCACCGCCGCCGCCGCCACCCATCTGTTTTTTAATTTTTTTTATTTTATGCGCATTGATATGAGGGTGTCAGATCCCCTGGAACTAGAGTTATGGACAGTTGTGAGCTCCCATGTGGGTGCTGGGAATTGAACCCTGGTCCTCTGGGAGGACAGCTGGTGCTCTTAACCACTGAGCCATCTCAGTTATGAGTCCCTGTCTTAACTCCTATCACACATAAACACATACAGAGAAAATGAAAAAATTTCAGGTGACGGTCACTCAGGAAAGCTGAGTTAAAAGAGAAGGGGGCGTGGTGTGGAGGTGCACGTCTTTAATCCCAGCACTCGGGAGGCGGAGGCAGGGAGGGGGATCTCTGTGAGTTTGAGGCCAGCCTGCTCTATAGAGGGAGTTCCAGGACAGCCAGGGATCCACAGAGAAAGTCCATCAGCAGGGTACCTGTCTACTGTGTATGAAGCGCTGGTTCCATTCCACTCCCACATGGCATAAACCAGGCGTGGTCCTGTACCACTCAGGAGGTGGTAGCAGGAGGATTAGAAAGAAGTTCTGGTCATCCTCGGCTAGATGACACAAAGGAGGGACTGCGAATGTGAGGCAGGGGGTGACCTTGCAGTGACACCCGTAGCTAGTCCATAGGGATGCACCCATCAGTGTGGACTGGAATCCCCGCATCCGCCGCAGGTGTCTGTAACTAGAAAGCTAAGGGTGGTAGAAAATGATAATGGAGGTCTAGGACAGTGACCCTCCCATGATTGTAGAGTGAATCGGCATGGCAGGACCTGTGGGACACAGTGTTAAAAGAGAATCCAGGGGCTGGAGAGATGGCTCAGCAGTTAAGAGCACTAGATGCTCTTCCAGAGGATTTGGGATCAATTCCCAGCACCCACATGGCAGCTCACAACTGTCTATAACTCGGGGTCCAGAGGATCCCAGCAACCTCACACAGACATAACATGCAGGCAACACATCAATGTACATAAAATAAATATAAATTTAAAAAGAGAGCATCCATCTTTCTCTTCTCCCCTCCCCTGTCCAGAGCTGTTGCCCAAAGGGAGCAAAGAGGAACAGCGGGATTATGTCTTCTACCTGGCAGTGGGCAACTACCGTCTCAAGGTAAGGTACAGAGCCTTTCTGCCCAATGCACATTCCCCCCAGACAGAGCCCTGGCCCTCAGGAACCCGCAAAGGGCAGTGGGCTGGGGCGATGTAAGTGCATGGTATAGAGTAATTCCAGGACAGACTCTAAGGGAAGATGAGGGAGTTTCAGGGTGTGGGGACCGTGGTGACGTCAGGATTGGGGTGCAGCCTCGTGCCTCTAGCTGTTATCTCCACTAGCTTATCACCCCCCCACAGCTGGGCTGTTTGTGGACTCTACTCTGTGGGGTGGGGCTGTAGCAGGAATGGAGGAGGAGGAGGAAGGATGAGCCTGAGCCGGGGCCAGAGGACACCCCTGGGTGGGAGCTAGCAAGAGGAGCGTCCTGAAGAGCGTACGGTGTGAGGTGTTTTTCCCTCTGGTTACAGGAATATGAAAAGGCTCTAAAGTATGTGCGCGGACTGCTGCAGACTGAGCCCCAGAACAACCAGGCCAAGGAGCTGGAGCGCCTCATTGACAAGGCCATGAAGAAAGGTGACAGACCTCTCGGCCCTCATGCCCGGGCCCTTGGGAACACCCCCACATAGTCCTTTACCACACTTACCTTCCAAGGGTCTCTGTAGCCTTGGAGTCCCAGCCCCCAGACTCTGGGTACAGGTACCCCTCTTCTGTGGAGGGGAGTGTGGTCAGGGGCCTCGGGGGCAGGACTGATCTGCTCACGGCCCCTCTTTCCTTTCCAGATGGACTAGTCGGCATGGCCATTGTTGGTGGCATGGCCCTGGGTGTGGCGGGACTGGCTGGACTCATTGGACTAGCTGTCTCCAAGTCCAAATCCTGAAGACAGCCTCACCCGCTCTCTGCCCTGGCGCACTTGGGAGCCTGGGGACACTGGAAGAGGGTCCTGTCCATCCTCACCGTGGCCTTCCCTTGTCTTCCCCAACCCTCTTCCACCTCCACAGTCTCCTCCGTGACCTTCAACCTCCCATCCCCGACACCTGTTGTTAGCCCTAAGTCATGCTTTGCGATGAGTGTAAATAAAATTGGGCTGTGGCTTGGGAACCTCTCTGTCTGAGCGACTGTTGAGGAAGGAGCAGGTTCCCTGGGTGCACTGTGGCCCCCACTACCCCCCCCCCCAGTCTCCTGTGCCAGCATCCCAGCCCACACCCTTCCTTCCTCCCCTATCCTGAATCCTCAACGCAGGAACAGGGCTAGGAGGACACGGCTTTTCCATCGCCCCAGAATCCTGGAAGAGAGCAGCAAACATTAGAGAGAACAGCGCCTGGGATTTACGACTGTGGTCTCCTCTGACCCACTAAGCTGCCTGGGAGTTTTCCACTGCAGGGGGCCCCCACTGGGCTTCCTCCGAAAACCTCCGCCCTTCCCTCCCTTTGTCTTCCTGCCCCCTCCCCTTCCTCTACCCAGTCCTTCTCCTCAGGGGGACATGGATGGATGACGTAGAGAGAGGAAGCCCTGTGAAGATGGCAGGGGCCGTGGGGGCCGTTGGGCACAGGATTCCCCAGTCCCAGCCTGTGGGATGGGAGGCAGAGATCTCACCCCACGCCCCCTGTGCCAGGCTGTGCGTGGGCCTGTTTGGCTTCTCTGCATACTTCTCATTCCACAGCCCCTGCCAGGCTTGCTAGGGGGTGGGAGGAGGTACCTGAGGGGAGCCCGGAGGAGCTCCCAGAAAAGGTGGGGATGGGGAGCGACAGAGGGCATAGCTCTGCCTCACCTATTCTGGAAAGGGAACCCTGGTGCCAACGTGCCAAGCAAGAAGTGGCCAAGAAGGAAATTATGCTCAGCAGGGTTGGGTGAGGGACCCAGAGGCTTCCATTTATCACAATTAATTAATAGAACTGGTGATAGTTCCCAGTTAAGTGGATCGGTAGAGAGATTAACCAGAATCATGCCCTAGACCTGTGATCCATCCCTCAACCCTGGGCCCCTGGCCCCTTGGCAGCGAGATCAAACTCAATGCCGTAGAGTCAAAGGTCAGCTCCGGGAGGGACAATTCAAGTTCAGGAAGTTTGGAGGAAAGTAGCATTTAGTGGCCTCACCTCAGCCCTGCGGCATTCAGATCCAGGGCAATTACCAACCGCTGGGGCAATAGGAGTGTGCCGGGAGCTGTGATCTGTGGTCCCAACTTCCATTACAACCTAAGAAGCCAATAATGTTGTGTCAACAAGGCTGAGAGCCAAAATCCAAGCCCAGGGCCCTTTGATAATGTTGGAGTCTAGTGGGAACCTGGTGGGAGGGATCCCAGAGCTCCCGTCACCCCGGAATCAACCTTCATGGTCCTCGGAGATTAAAGGGTCCCAACCCCGGGTCTTCAGTGTCTTAGGTTGCTCTCAGGGTCTCTTAATCCATCATGGAAGCCTGTGGTGGGCCTGTTGGAAGTTTTCTTCTCTCTTGACACTCTGGTCTCTCAGTTACCTAAAACTCTTTGTCCCTCTGATTTTATTCCCTGACCCTGGTGACAGCTGAGTCAGAGACAGGCCACTTCCCCTGGATTCCTGATGGATCCCTGGGGGCTGCTCCTTGGCTGTATCCGAGTCTCCTAGTAAGTCCAACCTCCCCGCTCCTAGGGCGGGGAGTCCCGGGCTAGGCCGGGGGAGGGGGTGGACTTTTGGCCCGTTTATTCCCTCCATCACAGTCAACAGCTGCCGAGCGGAGCGGAGCGGGCTTGGCTCATTCCTCTGACCTGCCAGGAAGCAGACAGTCCCAGGGACTGGACCGAGACAGTCAGACCTGAGCTCCCGGGGAAGGCCGACGGGGATCGCAGCTGGACAGGCTGCCCTTCAGCCTTCTCCCTCCTCAGTCTGCCTTAGCATCTCTTTGGGGCCCAAAGCCCCCAGAATTCACCTGGAGGTACCACCTCTCTCCCAATCCCTGGGGCTCGAGCCCCTTGGGGGACCTGCACCCCAGCATGTCTACGGCTGTGGAGACCTTCGGCTTCTTCATGTCGGCCCTGGGACTGCTGATGCTGGGAGTGACCCTCCCAAACAGCTACTGGAGAGTGTCCACCGTGCATGGGAACGTCATCACCACCAACACCATCTTTGAGAACCTGTGGTACAGCTGTGCCACCGACTCCATGGGAGTCTCCAACTGCTGGGAGTTCCCTTCCATGCTGGCCCTCTCTGGTATGGGGTGAAGGGGGCTCTAGGGGACAGAGGGAGGTTGGGTGGTCGGCTGGAGATAGCCTAGCGAGAGGGTGGATGTGGTTGCCTTTGGCCTGGCCTTGGGCACCATCATGATACAAGTTCAGATGAAGCTCTCAGTTCTGGGCCGCTGCAGCAGAGTTCTTCATGACCCAGAATGGAATGGGATGCATGGCTCTCCGCCCTAATATGCGACCCTCTACCAGCTAAGTCAAGCTTCCGGACGCAAGCCAGGCCTTGGCTAGCTCCAGGCCTCAGATGAATGAGGGAATGCATTTGGTCTTGGCCATCTGCAAGCTAAGAGTAATCGTGGTGCCAATGCACAGGTGGTCATGAGGCCCCGACACGTGCAGGCGTGAACGGGATGTTGACCGTATGTATACTTTAGTGCTTTATTCTGGGGAGGGTTTGCTCAGTTGGCAGGGGTGAGAACAAGACACCATCTTGGTTGATGGACTGCCAGCCTCAGCAGCTCTTTAGACAGCCACAGATGGTGGTCTACCTACCCTGCTGAACTCGGGGGGTGGGGGTGGGGGCTGGACACAGCTCGCTTGTTTTGGAGGAGAGTCTCCTGGGAAGTCTGAGTGGATGCTGGAGAGGTGGTTATGTGGACGTGCCTGTGTGTGTGGGGCTCAGAGTGTGGATTTTGTTGTCGTTTTGTTTTGTTCTGTTTTATTTGAAGGTCCTAACATGGCTCCAGCCTGCAGCTCTAACTTGGGCCCTGGCGCTTCTTTGCTGCCGACATTGCCTGTCTCTTGCTCTCCTGCACAGCCCTCCCTGGCTCCGCCTGCCATCGTTTCCCCCAAGGAGTCCATTTGGACTTCCTAGTCTCCCCCATGCTACAAAGACTAAGAGTCGGTGACTGTGAACCAACCCTCCCCAGTTGTTCCTGCCACTAGGTCTCAGTCTCGCTTTTCTAGGACTCTGAGACCAGCCCAGGGTGGGAAAGCGAACACTGTGAAATGGCCCCATGAATCTGGAAGATGCCCTGAGCAGTGGTGGTGTCCGGGTGGATCTCCTGAGGTAGCTGTCGGCAAGGGTTTCATCCTCCGGGACCTCTGATTGTGCTCCACCCCAAATCTTTGGAAAAGCTGGTCTATTCTGGGCCACAGACTCAGAGCAATAGGAAGGGACCAGAAGCCGGGCGGTGGTGGCGCACGCCTTTAATCCCAGCACTCGGGAGGCAGAGCCAGGCGGATCTCTGTGAGTTCGAGGCCAGCCTGGGCTACCAAGTGAGTTCCAGGAGAGGCGCAAAGCTACACAGAGAAACCCTGTCTCGAAAAACCAAAAAAAAAAAAAAAAAAAAAAAAAGAAGGGACCAGAGATGTGGGCAACTCAGCGCCCAGCCAGCCTGCTGCATCTCTGGTGTACAGAGGCCATTTTGCTGTGAGTCTGGCCACCTAAGAGGGACCTTACACGGTGTCACCACTCTTTGACTGCAAGAGAACGCGAGTTTGGAGGAAAGTCACATGGGAGTTTGCTGGGGGTGATGGAGGATAGAAGGCCTTGAGGTCCCCAGGCCTCCAGGGCTCCTGTCACCTCCCTTCCATGTTTTTTGGTTTGGGTTGGTTTGTGGTGTGTGTGTGTGTGCGTGTGTGTGTGTGTGTGGTGTTTTGAGGCATAGTGTTGCGCTATGTAGTCCTATTCTTGATCTCACTTTATGGTCCTAAACTCGGAACTCAGAAACATCCTCCTGCATCAGCCTCCTAAGAGCTGGGATTACAGGTGTGCACCACCATATCCAGTTCTCCTTTTATGTGGACGTTGCCCTCCCCCTCTCCCGCCCTGTGTACATCTATGCTTTTCAGAAATATTTACAACGTTAACCTCATTTTCATCAAAGCTGGACCACTCTGCAGAGTTAAGCAACCTGCCTAGAGGCAGAGGAAGTGGACAGGAAGCTATGATTTGAATTCACTGTCTGGGCTGAGGACCAGTTTATTCCTCTGTGGTCTGCTGAGTCCCAAGGGAGATCCTGTCTTTCTTTGCAGCCAGTATTAGAGATTAAACAAAAACCATATGCATGCTAGACAAGCACTGAACTACACTCTGCCCCTCACTGGGGGATCCTAGGCAGGTGCTCTACCACTGAGCCACACCCCAGCCCCTCACTGGGGGATCCTAGGCAGGGGCTCTACCACTGAGCCACACCCCAGCCCCTCACTGGGGGATTCTAGGCAGGGGCTCTACCACTGAGCCACACCCCAGCCCCTCACTGGGGGATTCTAGGCAGGGGCTCTACCACTGAGCCACACCCCAGCCCCTCACTGGGGGATTCTAGGCAGGGGCTCTACCACTGAGCCACACCCCAGCCCCTCACTGGGGGATTCTAGGCAGGGGCTCTACCACTGAGCCACACCCCAGCCCCTCACTGGGGGATTCTAGGCAGGGGCTCTACCATTGAGCCATACCCCAGCCCCCTTTTTATTTTTCATTTTGAGACAGTCTTGCTGAGATGCCCAGGCTGGCCCTGAGCTTGCATCCCTCTGGTCTCAACCTCTTGAGTGCTGTGGTGATTTCTGACATTGCTCACCCAACCAGGCCTAACTATCAGTTAATGACTTCACACCTGTGCCACCTCTCCACGGTTCCACCAATGGATCCACATACCTGTTGGCCCTTCAGTCGTCTTTCCTTTGTCCATCAGCATTGTCTGAACATTAAGAATTGGTGGGGAGCCGGGCGCTGGTGGCGCACGCCGTTAATCCCAGCACTCGGGAGGCAGAGGCAGGCAGATCTCTGAAATCTAGGTCAGTCTGGTCTAAAGAGCGAGTTCCAGGACAGCCAGGACTGTTTCACAGAGAAACCCTGTTTTGGGAAAGAAAAAAAAAAAAGGATTGGTGGGGAATTTTCTAGAAGGTGTGGCCGGGAGTCTTATGTCCTCCCAGAGAACTTTGTCCCTCCTCCATACCTCTTAACTCCAAGCTACTTCATCTCTTCCTGGCAGAGACCCAAGCCTTTGGCTTTCAACACGGTGCCATGCGCCCCACCCGGGAAAGGGGTACAAGGTCCCTGAGAGTGCTTGGCAACCATCAAAAACAGGAGGAGCCAGCAGCTTCCCTCATCTTTGAGAAAAGGGAAACTGAGTCACCAAAAGATTGTGGGCTGAGCTGACTGGGATGGGTTCTTAGGTCCAGGTTTCTTGTCTCCCCACCCCCCAACAACCGCGGCCCTCGACCCTCTGCCCTGAGTCATTGCTGCCCCCTGCTGGTTACTCCAGAAGAAGCTCAGCTCCAACCACGTCCATGGTGTTGGGTAGGGTGGCACATGCCTGTCTGTAATCCCAGCAAGCCAGAGGCTGAGGCAGGAGGATCAAAAGTTACCTCAAGATCGTCCTTGGCAACATATGAAGTCTGACGCCAGTCTGGTTTATGTGAGACCTTGTCTCAAAAAATAAAATAAAATAAAAACAAAAACAGGCAGGGCATGTAGCTCAGTAGAGTGTTGGCCTAGCATGCCGGAAGCTCTGGTGAGATCAGGTAGCCCTGCTTGCTAGAGGCTATCAGAGGCAGGCGTGTGGACTGTTGACATTATCTTAGAAAAGGAGAGGGTGGGAAGAGTCATTGAACCCTCACCCCAACCTCCCAGTCATCCCTCCCAACCTTTTGTTTACAATTCTGCCTTAACTGCCTGTGGCCTGGGATCCCGGGGAGAGGCTAGATGATCCAGGCTGAGGGGAGCCATGGTCCGTCAGTCCGTCCGTGCTGGCTGAAGACTTTCTGTTGTGGCTCCTTTGGGGTCAGCCACCCCTCTGCCAGTGAGTGCTCACCCATGCTCTCTGTGAGGCAGCCCGGCAAACGCGCTGCTTCCCCCATGGCGATATTTGGTGGATCCTACTTTGGTTTGTTCTTGGGACCTTGAGAAGAAGGGGTAGATGTTGATGACATTCCCCCAGGAAAGGAATTTTGCCCACACCTGGGTTGCATCCTCAGCACGACCCACACCTGGCCTGGTGGTGTCATGCCAACACTTGGAGGCGAAAGATCAGATGCTTAAGGTCGTCCTCAGCTGTTTAACAAGCGTGCGGCCAACCTGGCCACATGAGGCCTGGTCTTTTTTTTTTAAGGTTTCAACAGTGGCACCCCAGCAGGGAAAGAGGGAGTGCAGGGCGAGGGAGTCAAGATTGAACAAAAGGGATAAGGAGGGAGGTTGACGTGGATCCTGAAACGGGGAGTTGCTAGGAGTTTTAGGTGCAGGAGAGCAGGAGGAAAGCATGCCTTCTGAGGATGGAGGTGTGTGGAAGGAAAGGACTGACGGCTTCACCCCTGCACGCTCCCCAGGGTATGTCCAGGGCTGCCGCGCCCTCATGATCACCGCCATCCTCCTGGGCTTCCTGGGCCTCTTTCTAGGCATGGTGGGGCTGCGCTGCACCAACGTGGGGAACATCGATCTCTCCAGAAAGGCCAAGATACTGGCCATTGCAGGGAGCCTCCACATACTTGCTGGTAATGGGGGAGGAAGGGGATGCATGGGTGGGGGAGGCCCTCGCCACAGCCCCTGGCTTCTCTGTCTTCATCTCCTGTTCTCAGGGCTTGCCTCACCTTCCCCTTTGGGTTGACCCCTGCCCTCTCTCACTCATCTCTCCCCTCTCCCCACTCTGTCTGTACTCTGCACATCTCTAGTCCACAACCCAGTGTCCAAGAGTAGGGCTGCCCTGCTCGAAGCTGAGCCAAATCCCAGCCAGGCCTGAGAGGCCATTTCCTTCCGAAACTTACAACTGGGAGGAAGCAGAGTCAGGGCATGTACACACACACACACACACACACACACACACACACACACACACACACACACACACACAGTAACAATGCTACAGATGGCTATTACTGTTCAGCTTATTTCTGCACACGTCCCTTCACGATAAACTATGCAGGGCTGGTGAATGATGACCCAAGACTGATCCAGGGGTAGATGGGAAGAACCAACTTCTGAAAGTTATCACTTATACCTCCACATGAGCATCTGCACTCACACACATACACCACACACAAATAACAAAATAAGAACAGCAGTCATTTTTAAAAATCCTGACGGGGTGGGTGTTTCCCGTTTCCTAGATCTGAAGGTTTGGAAAGGTCCCTTAGCCAGTGCGGCAGTGAGGAGTGATAACTCACAGGGATGTCAGTGGGTAGGAAAGACTTTCTGGACTGCTGGGCTTTCAAGATGGGTATGGTTACCATCTAGGGGTCATGATCAGATTCATTTTCTCGGCCAGTTAAAGAATTAAGAGGCAGAGAAAACCCTCAAGCTGGACAGGTCGCAGATGAGAAACCTTGAACACAGCAGATGATTCAGCAGTTGAAGGAAGGTGTTTATTGGGGATGAGGAAGCACATGAAGGCAGCAGACACAGAGAAAGACTCTCCACAAAGCGGAGGGAGAATTGAGAAGCCGAAAGTCCAGTGTCTTTTCGAGGCGGGACCTCTAAGTCTGAAGAGCCTTTCTCCTTCAGGGTTGGTCGGTTTGAGGACAGACAGGACGGCTGATTGGCCCTCAGCTCTTGTGTAACATGTCCTGATCCAGCATTGAACTGTCAGTTCATCCACGACTGACCGCTGGCAGGAGAAAAAAGGAGTCCACAAGGCCTTTGTTTTAAGCTGCCAGGCTTTTGTCTCAAGTCCAGGAGGGAGGGAGAAGCCAGCCATCTTAGAAGTCCACCATCTTTATTACCTAGGCATGGCCACCCTCCTTGTCTCCCAGGGAATCTTCTTTAATCCTCAGTATATTTGAGGGCTAGAGTGCAGAGAATCCTAAATTCTATCCCTGGCACTGAGTAAACTCTGTGTGTGGGGTTCATGACTATAATCTCAGGAGGTAACAGGATCATGGTTATGCCAGGCTATGTGGTGAGTTCAAGGCCAGCCTAGGCTTCCTAAGAGCTTGTTTTAAAAAATGTGAGCTACCTTGGGCTTAAGTGGCCTGAAGGCTGCACTTTAAACAGGTCTAGGTCACAGGCTGGAACAGAGAAAAGGAACTGTTACTCTTGAACATCATGTCCCGTCCCTCAAACTCCTCATAGCTCACTTGCTTTGGGAGACAGTGGCTACAAGAAGGGCCTTTAGGACGATCCTCCATCCTTTTTTCCAGGGGCCTGCGGAATGGTGGCTATCTCCTGGTACGCCATCAACATCACTACTGACTTCTTCAACCCCTTGTATGTTGGAACCAAGTAAGTGAGGAACCCTGCCCTTGGGGACAGTGGGTGGGTAGGTCTCGGCCCCGCCCCTCTGGGCTGGCACTTACCTCTTCCACTCCTCCAGGTATGAGCTGGGTCCCGCCCTCTACTTGGGCTGGAGTGCCTCCCTGCTCTCCATTCTGGGTGGCATCTGTCTCTTTTCCACCTGCTGCTGTACTGCCAAGGAAGACCCCGTCGCCAGGTGAGGGGACGAGTGGGTGGAGGCCTGGATTGAGGACTACAATGTGCTATGACCACCTGTGACCCTGCCTCCCTCCTAATTCCACAGGACTGGCCTTCCCTACAAGGCTTCTACAGTTGTGGTCCCCAAAGCCACCTCGGATGAAACTGACATCAGCTTTGGTAAATATGGCAAAAATGCCTACGTGTAGGAGCTCTGGCCTGGTGGACACCATTTATTGTCCCACTGTCCCCAGGACCCTCAGACCACTCTCCAGTTAATAACCTCAGGACAGACCATTTCCAGACTCCACCCTGTGCCTGGAAGCCCCGACCTGCTCTGGGCACGCCTTACCTGTCACTCCAGCCTCTCCCAGGAACAGAAGCTGTGGAGGCTACTTGCGAGGCCTCCTACAGCTGGACCCAAGGGGACAGAGGTGTCTGCAGCTTGTGACACCATATAAATACATGTACAAATAAATGTATATTGTGATTGTTCAGGGGCTTCAGGGGTCATGAAGGTGCAGCCAAGCAAGGGGCTCGTTTTCAAACCATGGACTGTCAAGACCATCCACTTGAGCTGTCTCAGCTAGTGAAACAATGTGCCAAGGGGCTGGGGAGATGGTTCGGTGAGTTAGAGTGTCTGCCACACAAGTTTGAGGACCTGAGTTCAAATCCCCAGAATCCACGTAAAAAGCCAGGTATGGTCACACTCCTGTAACCCGAGCGCGGTTGGGGAGGCTCTCTGAGGCTTTACTGGCTTCCAGCCCAGCTCGAGGTTCAATGTGAGACCCTGTCTCAGAGGAATAAAGTGAAGAATGATAGAGCAGGGTGCGAGAAGCCCTCCTCCAACCTTTGCAGGCACACAGACTCATGCACAAACAACACACACACACACACACACACACACACACACACACACACGCACACGCACACGCACATGCATGCACGTTCTTAAAAAAAAAAGTGTTGCAAGCGATTTGAAAGAAGAATAGCTAATTACCGCTCAGAGTCACCCACCTCAGGGAATCATTGTTAGCTGGGATGCCCCCGGCCAGCTGATAGTCTCTCTCTTTTGACTCTTAACCTGTTTTCTTACAGCTGCACAGAGGAGCAGTTGGTCTAGAACAGGAGTTTGTGTGTGCGTGTGTGTTTGAACTAGATTTGGGGTTTAATAAAGATATTTTAAAAGATGCATTATTTACATGCATGTGTGTGTGCCTTCGTGTGTTCCTATGCACCATGCGCCTGCAGGTGTCTGAAGACCGAAAGAGGGCACCGGATCCCCTGGAGCTGGAATTACGGTGGTTGTGAGCTGACCTATGTGGGTGTTGGGAACAGAACCCGGATCCTCTATCAGAGCTGCAAGGGCTCTTATCTGTTGGGCCATCTCTTCAGTCCCTTAATAAAGATATTTTAATATAGATTAAGGTCAAGGGTCAAGAGAGAAGACCTCATAAGAAAACGATACCCAAGAGCGTGGATGTCGGCATTTTAGAAGTCTTAGAAAGTAAGACACCAAAATACAGTATGGGATCCTCAAAAAGGAGCCACCGGGACAGCATCTTGTTCATTTCACCTGGGCCTGAGTGTGGTCATCAAGGCCGGGCCGGGCCTGGTGTGTATACATTCCTGTGGGAAAGCTGCAGTATCTTCCAGAAAAAGGCTCATGTATATCCACAGCTGGCTGGGGATGGTGTGTTGTGAACAGTGTGATGTGGGCCTAGTAGGGACTGAATAGAGCTGATACCTGTTCAAGAAAAGAAAACGAGGCTGGGTGTGGTGGCGCACTCCAGTAATCCCAGCATTTGGGAGACAGAGGCAAGCAGATCAGAAGTTCAAGGTCATCCTTAGCTACATGAGACCATGTCTAAAAAAAGCTGGGGAGCTCAACTGGGGAGCTAGCTCAGTTGGTAACGTGACTTCCTTTCAAGTATGAGGACCTGAGTTTTATTTCTAGAATTTAAAAAAAGGAGGGGGGGGGCTAGGTATGGCGGTATATGCACCACTGAGGAGATGGAGTCACAGCCTCTCTGGCTGGCCAGCCTGGCAAGACCGGCGACCTACAGGTGAAGGTGACAGACTCCAGCTCAACAAATAGGGTGGAAAGTGACTGAGCAAGACACCTCTGCTTTCTTTGGCCGTGATAAACGCCATGACCAAAAGCAACTTAGGGAGAAAAGGGTTTATCTTAGCTTTTGATTCCCAGGTCACACTCCATCATTGAGGGAAGACAGGGCAGGAGCTCACGCAGAAACCACAGGGTGATGCTTACTTGCACTTTTCACTAGTATTTTTATAGAGTCTAAACCCACCTGCCTAGGGATGGAAACGCCCACAGTGGGTCGGGTCGGGCCCTCCCTCATCAATTAGCGGTTAAGAAAATACTCCCACAGATGGGCCCACGCACCATTCTGATCCAGCCAGTCCCCCAACTGAGACTCCTTCAGATAATTTTGAGCTGTGTCAAGTTAACAGCAGCAGCTAACCAGAACACCAGTTGATCAGCACCCATCACGTATACATATGCAAACACACACACACACACACACCAAAAGAAAATAAAATGAAGCCACTAGGCAGAAACCTCTGATCCAGTGGGAGGGGTAGACAGGATGCGGTCAGCTGACTAGGTGTCTTCTGCAGCACTGAGTGGTGACCAGGGTCCGCTCTGGGTTCTGCCAAGCAGCGCTTTTTCTATACCGCATCCACGCAACTACATCAACTCCCCCACCTGCCTCTTCTCTCCTTTTCCCTCCAGGAAACCTGAGCCGAGCACACAACTCAACACTGAACACTTAACTGTAGTGAGCATGATCGCTGGGTTGGGTTTCCATTTCTTCAGTCACTGTGTGGTCACGTGACTATAAAAGACCAAGGGAAACTTCAAAAAACAAAACAAAAAACAAACATTTTCCTTTTTTTTTTAGACAGGATTTTTGAGATGTGTATCCCTGGCTGTTCTGGAGTAGCCCAGGCCAGCCTCGAACTCAGAGAGATCTGCCTGCCTCTGCCTCCTGAGTGCTGGGATTAAAGGTGTGCGCCACCACTGCCTGGCAGGCCATATTATTATTATTGTTGTTGTTGTTGTTATTATTATTTGTGTGTGTGTGTGTGTGTGTGTGTGTGTGTGTACACACACGTGTGCCACAGCATATACTCGCAAGTCAACTTGTGGGAGTCAGCCCTAGGGATCAAACTTGGGTCCTCAGACTCAGCCACAAGTGCCTTTACCTACTAAACCATCTCACCAACCCAAAATTTTAAGTGAGAACTTGTGTCAAAAAACAAACCAAAAAAACAAAACAAAACAAAAACAACAACAACAAAAAACCTCACAAAACTTTGCTGGATCTCATTAGCAGCTGATTAAGGTCATTTGTTCAACAAATACTTAGGTCGCCCCTGCTGTGTGTTTAGCAGGGTAGTTTCCAGGATTACGTGATTACAGCTTGCAATCCACTTAGACATCTAAGTAGTGAGTCTGGGGTCCTGTAAATGCCACGGTCAGTCTTAGCAGCCAGCACCATCCCCGTGCTTCCCAGCAACGTCGTGGTCGAATGCTGGCAATAATTTCACACACTCTCCACTTCTGACATCCTAAGGACAACTGTCGCTGCACACTAATTAGTAGCATCAGGGACAAGAAGAGTCAGCCTGACTGGCCCCACTGAGTTAAGTATCAGACAGAACTGGTTCCGTCTCACGTCATTTTGCATCATTCCTCAGCCCTCACCCCACTAGTCCAGTTACTCAGCCCTTGTAGCTAGCTCAACCCTGAAAATACTTAAAGGGTTGGTGGTAGTGTAATCTGTAATCATAGCTCCTGGGGAGGCAGTGGCATGAAGATTACGAGTTCAAGGCCTGCTGGAGCTAGAGTGAGGTCAGCCTGGGCCACCCAGTGAGATCCTGCTTCAAACTATACAATAAGCCGGGCAGTGGTGGCGCATGCCTTTAATCCCAGCACTCGGGAGGCAGAGCCAGGCGGATCTCTGTGAGTTCGAGGCCAGCCTGGGCTACCAAGCGAGTTCCAGGAAAAGGTGCAAAGCTACACAGAGAAACCCTGTCTCGAAAAACCAAAAAAAAAAAAAAAACTATACAATAAAAAAGTGAGCTTGGGATGTAGCTCAGGGGTCGAGTGCTTACCCAGAATCCTCCAGTTGAGGCCTGGAGGTGAGGTTCAATAGAAGGGGGCTAGCCTAGCTTGTGCAATTCCTCAAATCCCATCAAAAAAAAAAAGGAGACAGCAGAGAGGAGGGGAGGAAGAAAGAAATAAAAATAAGTACAGAACCAGAAAGATTAAAAATACCTCCTTCCATGGTGGTACATGCCTTTAATCCCAGCACTCAGGAGGCAGAGGCAAGTGGATCTCTGAGTTCGAGGCCAGCCTGGTCTACAGAGGGAGCTCCAGGACAGCCAGTGCTACACAGAGAAACCCTGTCTCAAAACACCGAAACACACAAATAAACAAACTCTAAAAACCACACCTCCTTCCAAACTAAATTCATAACTAAGAAATGGGGCCAGTGAGATGGTTCAGTGGGTAAAGACACGTGCTGCCAAGGCCGACAGCTGGGGTTTGACCCCAGGGACCAACACAGTGCGAGAAGGGAACCAGTTCCTGAAAGTTGTTCTGATTTCTACACGCGTGCTGTATCTCCTACACACACACACACACACACACACACACACACACACACACACACACACACACACTGTTAAATTTAAAAAAACAAGGAAAAACTCTAAGTAACCGACAGGAGGGAAGAAGCGGAGTTGTAGCAGGCCACTAATCACCGGGGTTGATGGGGCTGGCTTAGCTGGCTGGGTGGGGTCCCTCCTTATCCACTCTATAAGCTTCCAGCAGAAGCTGTGAGCTCTGGTGAAGAGGATGACTGCCCCCAAGAGAGGGGGAGGTTTTTTAGCTTTTGTTATTTTATGTGTGTGTGTTTTGTGCATGAAGTATCCTCAGAAGAAGGCGTCAGTTCCCCTGGAACTGGAGTTACAGATAGTTGTGGGGTGCCATGAGGGTGCCGGGAATCGAACCTGGCTTCTCTGGAACAACCTGTGCCCTTAACCACTGAGTCACCTCTCTAGCCCAGTTTTTGTCAAGGGTACACAGGCGGCTGTTGTTTCCCTGCTGGGCCATTTATAGGGATATAAATTTATATCTCAATATTTTGGGGTCCATTTATAGGAGGACATATGGTCCTCAGGCTTTCCAAACACCAGACATGGGCAGGGGAGATGGCTGCGTGGGTAAAGGCCCTTGAAAGTCTGATGAGCCACATTTGAGTCTTGGAACCCAGACATGTCACAGCTCCTATCTGTAGTCCCAGCACCTCTCCAGTGAGATGGGAGGGAGGGGAGTCACTTGGAAGCTTGTGGGCCAGCTAGCCTGAAGTCCACCGAGCAGGGGGCAGACACAATAAAAATCTTGTCTCCACAAAGTAGGAGGAGGTACCTGATTCCCTCAAGAGTTGTCCCTGGACGTCTACAATTCACTGTGGCATGTGTGCACGCACACACACACATACATAAATATGGAGGAGAAAGAATTCAGACATATGTAAAAAACCAGTATTTAAAAAACAGCACTTGGGGGCAGTGGTGGCGCATGCCTTTAATTCCAGCACTTAGGAGGCAGAGGCAGGAGTTCGAGGCCAGCCTGGTCTACAAAGTGAGTTCTAAGACAGCCAGGGCTACACAAAGAAACCCTGTCTCGGAAAAAGAAAAAAAAAAAACAAAACCATGATGGGGGTGGGGGTGGGGGCAGCACTGGGAGGTGGAGCCAGGATTAGGAGTTCAGTCATCCTTCGCTATATATATAGTGAGTTCAAGGCGAGTCTTGTTTACAGTAAGACTTTATTTCTAAAACCAAACTAAAGCACCAGCTAATAAGGGCAGAGATGAGTTGAGAGTAGCTGGAGTTGGGACATAAACCTCCCACGACACACGGGCAGACAATGGGAAGCTGGAAGAGGGAAGACAGAGTATACGCAGGACTGACGGCCAACCCTGACCTTCACCTCCAAACACCTCAAACAAGCAGGCAGGTTCCTGTCACCGGGCCATTTATTATCACAGCACTCTGGGGGCTGGACCAACCCCACCACAGTCCCTGGGGTCCATGTGGCCTTCCTTGGTTGGCAGGACAGAGCTT